TGTACATTCACTGCTGATTAAAAACTCATTCTGCCTTGCTTCTCAGTAGCACATCCTGTAGAGAATTTCTTGCGCTATCTGATGGTATAATTGCCGTTTCACCATTGCTTGATAACCCTCTTTTTCACCGATTTTTCAAAAGCATGTTGAAAAGATCACTTTCGGACGCATTTTTTCCTTTCGCTAATAAATTGGGCAATTCGGGGGGCGCAATCGAAACAGCTCAACAAATTAACCAGGTGTGGGGGCCCAATAGTGCTAGAGAAAGCACTGTGCGGCAATGGCTCAACAAATTTCGTTCTGGAGATTTCAGCCTTGAAGATGAACCTCATAGCGGTCGACCTAAAGCAATATCTGACGAGGATTTAGGATTTTGGAGGCTGACCCATCCCAAACAGTTCGAGAGATAGCAGAAGAGCTAGGCCTTGGCAAATCCACTGTTGCAGATGGTCTGGAACGCATTGGGAAGGTGAAAAAACTCGACAATTGGGTGCCCCACAATCGGAGTGACCGGCAGGAATCGGCACGTCTCGAGGTTCCTTCTGCATTGCTTTTGCGCAGCAGAAACGACCTGTTTTTGGGCCGAATTGTCACCTGTGATGAAAAATGGGTCATGTATGATAACAGGAGACGTTCCGGACAGTGGTTGGATTTCGACGAACCACCGAGGTAATTTTCAAAGCCGAACCCTCACGAAAAAAAGATTCTGGTCACGGCTTGGTGGTCATCGGCTGGTGTGATCCACTATAACTTTTTATCACCAGGCCAAACCATCACAGCAGAACCCTACTGTGAAGAAATCGACGAATTGTACCGAAAATTTTGTCAGATGCAGCCAACACTTATCAAAAGAAAGGGTCCGATTCTTTGCATGACAACGCCCGCCCACACGTTTCACAAATCACTATCCATAAATTGAACGAATTGGGGGTTGAAGTTCTACCTCAACCGCCATATTCTTCAGACCTTTCGCCAACCGACTATCACCTTTTCTAACATTTTCAGAACTCCCTTGCTGGAAAATACTTCATCAATCAGGACCAGGCAAAAAAGCCTTAGTGGATTTCGTGAATTTTCGACCACCCAGTTTTTTACTTTGATGGGATTTCTCGACTGCTGTCACATTGGCAAAAGTGTGCTGATTCGAATGGTGCCTATTTCGATTAAATCCGATGAGTATTAAAAAAGTTACGATCGTTTAAAGTGAAACACCCAAAACGCTGAGAACTTTCCGGACAACCTAATAATTCTGCCCTCCTTTATTACATTTTATAGGTGGGGGGGAACATACAGTCAACTATAACTCATCTCGGTCAAAGGGTCAAAGGCCAAACGCATAAAAATCTAGAGTGATGCACTTTTCTTGGTGCAAAAGCTCGACGAACTAGAAGATGCACGCTACCGTACCTCAATTTTCTACGGCAAGTTCCCGAAAGTTTCCTTTTCTCAAGAGTTTTCGTTGGTGTTTTTGTTGTTTTTCGTATTCTTTTCTTTGCATTGGATGATATCTACTACTGGAGGTGCGAAAAAGCGATTTGTGAGTCAGGGGTTGCACAGGGACCGCAGGACATGTGACTGCTAGGGAGCGATTTTGTTTATGGTGTTCTTGAGGACTCTTCTTGCTTTTTTCTTCTTTGGGGAATTACTTATCAGCTACTGTTTCATAATTGAACAGCAACTATCCATGACACTTTATCACGGGAACTGTCTTTATCCCAAGGATTATTACGGATTATTCTCACCTCCAGTGCTGTATTGATATGTATTTGGGGAGGTCAGCTAGATTCCTTGTTGTGTTGCTCGTTAATCTTTTTCATTTGAGCTTTATTCGCTAGTCGTTCATGCTTTATTCGCTAGTCGTTCATCCTCAGAGGGTTCTGTATTCTGCATGTTATGTTGTTGTTTGTTGACATTTTAATTTGTTGTTGATTCATGTACCTGTGATACATGCAATATAAATAAAGAAAGCTACATACATGTTGTAATGTCCACCTCATCTTCGACCAAAAACCAGTTTTTCTCGCTATCGTTTTGTGCTGATATCCGCGCTGTTCATAGAAACGATCAGGATGACCACAAATAACGGCAACGAGGTAATGCGGTCATGGAAACAAGAAGCTAACTTCAGTGTTGCCGGGACAGTACCCACGCCGCAGTAGGATAAAGTGTACGTTGCACTGAATGCGTACGTTACACTGTATCGGACGCCTAGAGCGCTGCAGTCAGTAGGTCGTTGCGGATTTCATCATTTCTATCGGATTTCATCATTTCTTTTGTCCCCGATTTCATCACTTCGCCT